CAGCAAGCAGTGAATTTCTTTAATACTAAGCATCGACGATATGAAATTGGTAGATTTATAGTGCGTTTACCGTTCGATGAAAGCAAACCCGCATTAGATGAATCTCTGCCAGCAGCAATCCAGCGGCTGAAGGCGATGAAGATTCGTTCGAGATCCACACTTCAAAAAGATGTACGGTGAGTTCATGACTGAGTACTTTAATCTTGGTCACATGGAGAGGATTCCAGACGACGAGGTTAACGAAAAGTTTCTTCCACATCACGGTGTCATGCGGCAAGACAGTGTCACAACCAAATTGCGAGTCGTGTTTGACGGCTCGTGTCAACCGTCATTCGGAATTTCTTTGAACGAGAAACTCCGAAGGTCACCGAGGACTTGCCTGTCGTCCTCACTCGTTTGCGTAGCTACGCTTTCGCCTTTATTGGGGATACGATGTTGATTACTTGCGTACTGTATGGAGAGCGGAAGCCGATAAGCCCATTGAACATTACCGGTTGCTGACAATTACGTGCGGGACTTCATGTGCGTCATTTCTGGTCATCGAATCCTTACGACAAGCTGCCCGTGATGCCCGTGCGCAGTTTCCAGTTGCAGCTGATCGAGTTCAGGAAAACTTTTATGTTGATGATTTCCTCTCTGACGCACTCACGTTGAAAAAAGACATCGTTAGAATTACATCGGAAGCAGGCTTCCATCTTCGGAAGTGGTCAGCAAATGATTCCTGGCTGCTGGACGAGGATGCAAACGTTGCTCAACCCGAGGCTCAATCTTCAGTCCCTGTTAATTTACAATCGGAAGCGGTTGCAGTAAGAGCACTGGGTATTCATTGGTACCCAGGTACAGACTCTTTCGGATTCCGGTTGAATTTCGACATCGACAAGCCAAACACCAAGCGGCAACTTCTTACAGATTCAGCCTGGCTTTTCGATTCCACAATGACTTACAATGGGATGACCCACTTCCAGCTGTTATCAACAAGGAGTGGAACAACATCAAGGCAAGTTTGGCATCAATCGAAAACATCCGCATTCCAAGATGGATCGTAAATCACCACGGAGCGGCATAGCTACATGGATTTGCTGACACGTCTGAAGCAGCCTATGCAGCAGTGGTGTACGTCAGATCCAAAGCCAATGATGGCAATGTCAGCATTGAGCAAAACCAAGGTTAATCCTATTCAGCAAGTGTCGCTTCTTCGGCTTGAATTAAACGCTGCCGTTCTTCTTGTGGAGCTCATGAAGCAGCAGATTCTCGAATCATTGGATCACTTGGATGTTACCTTTCACGTGTGGACGGATTCTACCGTTGTGCTTGGATGGCTCAAGTCGCATCCCAAGAAATGGAAAACTTTTGTGGCAAATCGGACATCGGCGATATTAGATTTGCTGCCTCGTAGTTCGTGGCATCACATATCATCGAGTGAAAATCCTGCTGACTATGCATCTAGAGGTTTGCTATCAAAAAAGCTGGTTGACCACAATTTGTGGTGGACTGGTTCGTCCCTCCTGTACGACAACGAAGACATCTGGAAGGAAAGTACAGAAGCGGTACACATTACGGAAGACACAACGAAGCAAAGAAGAGCAATTTCGGCGGTTACGGCTGCTGTTAAACCTGCATCGGACTGGAAAGTTGAAGAATATCTCCTGAAACTAAATACATCTTTTAAGAATTCGCAACGAGAGCTAGCGTGGGTCTACAGATTCAAGGTCAACTCACTAGGGAAGCTACGAGGAACTGAGAAGATTACTGGACAACTGAAGCCATTGGAAGTTCAATGATGCCAATCTACAGTAATATAAATAAAAGTGAAATTGAGAGCAGACATTTTTGTTCCACAAGTTTTATTCATTTTCGGTTCGGAAATTCTGAAAAGTCCCGGTTTCGCGGGGTAGAACCATAGAGGTAACTCTAAGACCACTGGGTCTCAAAGAAAAACATTATTATTTTTGGCTCACTCAGTACCAGAACAACGGTCCCAAGCAGTCCCAAGCTATTTCACTCACCCCTGCATGTTCTGCATGAATCCACACACCCCTGATGTTATCTGTCAAACTTTCATAGCGAATCAAAACAAACATAGTGTAGTAATAGAATTTCAACTAGAATAGGGTACGTTAATCGTTTGCTTGGGACCAATAGGCTACTAAAGTGGTGAGCCAATTTAAAATCGTTAGTTTCGTATTGATTGTTGGTAGAACTTCGCGTCAGTTCTCGGTAGTCGTACCAACAATCAATATGAAACTAACGATTTTAAATTGGCTCACCACTTTAGTAGCCTATTGGTCCCAAGCAAACGATTAACGTACCCTATTCTAGTCAAGATTCTAGTACTACGCAATGTTTGTTTTGATTCGCTATGAAAGTTTGACAGATAAAATGAGGGGTTATTGGTTATTCGACAAGCTTGGGACCGAAGATAGTACCAGAGATGAGCCAAAAAGTTGAGCACGTTTCTTCGGGACCTACTTGTCTTAGAGTTACCTCTATGGTCGTACCTTGTCCACTTGCGCAACATTTTGAACGATTAACACAGTGTATGGTTTTTATTTTAATTGACCGTTCTGATGTTTATAACTCGCACACTTGCGTAATCCCATTTTCAAGTGTTTAGTTTGCTATCCTCAAGGGGTAACTCACTCTGCCACCTTGTGTTTAACACTCCAAAAACACAGTTCGACACACTCCAAACACACTTCCACCAGAATTTTCTATTAATTCTGGCACCACTTTCATGACTGTTTACATTCGATCAAGCATTCGATTGTTATGTTTATAAACAGTAGTTTTACATCTACGACGAATTCATTCAGAGAAATATGCGAGAGATGGCTCAGAACGTGGCAGAGAAGGCAGCCATTGGTGGACCTTCTCTCGAAAGCTTGTATGGGAGGTACGCGGATCGACCACATGAGTTTAGTTTCATGGAGGGGAAGATCCTGTGCATTCTGGATCTTGCGGATATTGTGCGAACAAATGGAATTAATCTGCTTTAAAAGCACGTAAAAAAGAGCGAGTCAGGGCGTGAATTGCATCCGCCGAGGAACAAGACGACGAATTTGATGGTCACAAGGAAAAACTCTGAATGAAGGGCTTTTTCTATGTCAACCAATGCATGCGTTTGAGAATTGAGTGACAAGCACCTGGAACAGTTAAAAAAAAAAACTTCCAGTTACTACCAGCTTTATTAGGCTTCCATATTAAATTTATATTTGTTAGAAAAGTCAACAACGTCTTGCGCTAGGTACGAATTGTTGTGTTTAGAGGCTTTGCAATAAGCCGAGGATGTAGTTTCTTAAATCTTCATCTTGATTAACCCACAAAACGCTACACATGTTATGCTTCGTTGAAATGCCTGGTGGTGGTGGTGGAACGGAAGCCAATCCCGGTGGTACGGCTATCGGCACGTTGCCTTCGATCTTGATATTCACCGAATTCACATTGATTGAGCCCTTCTCATTCATCGATACGGTCCATCCCGCGAAGCGCTCGTTTAGCAGATTGTACCTTGTTCTCAACTGTTCGAAGGGTTGGTCCCGGATCGTCAATTTTCACCTTCACAATGAACAAAACAAGCATTAAAACTACATTTCATGAGTCACGCTTGAATGCCATGCTTAAACGACATAAAGTTTACCTTATTACGTGACGATTGATTCCACATTTGTTGAAGATTTCGTTGATGACGCTTCGGATCTGATGGCTTTTTAGCTTCATCCTTTAGGTTCACACTACTGGATCAGCTGCATGATGCCTTTCGCGTCTGCATGAGCACTGACACTCATGTATTTGACCTGCCGATTCTCGAACTCCACATTTTTCGCTCCACCAAGAATCTTGTGTTCGACCCAAGGTTCGACCGTTCCCTGGACGTGATAATATTGATATTAGGCACCCATTTCGTCTTTCTCCTGCAGCGAGAGGGCCAATGCCCGTTTCAATTACAAATCTGCACATCTGCATAACAACAAAGGAGCCGCAGGAGGATCTGCCATTATCAGCATTCTGTTATGGTTGAGGATATGGTTGCCAGTAAATATATTTTTTTCGGTTGAAGTTTTGACAGCTCGGTGAACATGATGAAACACCCAGAAACACCTTCCGACACCCAAAAACACACATGAAACACAATAAGCATAGACACAAGGTGGCAGAGTGACTTACCCCCTGGCTATCCTCACTTTCGCTCTAACCAAAAATGTTGGTTTGTTATTGTTATCCACACTTTCGGACCATCAATACTCTTGCATATAGAATGGACTATACGCTTGTTTACGTTGGTACCCCAAGAAATTCTATCCTTTATAATATGCATTTAAATGTTATTGTGACGGTAAGGAGCAATGAACACAGGAGGGAGGTACCGAAAACCTTCAAATGTTGCTGAATTTGTAAATATCGAAAAAGCAAAAAAAACCTCATAGATCAGTGCACGAAGATTTGCGGCACTCTTCCCTCTCCCGTAAATTTTGACAGTTTTGGGTGGTTTGTTTTGGCTCCCATTCGTTGCCATCTCTTTTACTCACAGACAAAATGATAGGAAGCAAAAAGTGAGGTTAGGGACCGTGCACTGATCTATTGTAGGGTGCAATGCTGATGTTGACGTTATGTTCGTTAAATTTACCACGCAGTCTTGGGTGAGAGTAAATCGTTTTTTCGATGTAAATACAATTACAAAATTTAAAACCAATTTTCTTAACGATTTGCAATCTACTCGGGTATAAGAATTCATGCATTGGTTGGCATAGAAAGCTAACGAATAACTGTGGAAGTGCATCTAGAGCACTAAGTTGAGAGCCGGCAAAAAAACCCTCGCAAAAGAAGCGTAAAAGCCTAGAACAGAAGCCCTATTCGAAAACTATATACGAACCAAAATTATTTTGCTTCATTCGTTAACTCTCCGCTGGGTGGCATTGCCCAACTATTCCCAGTAGCAATATTCGATCAATACAAAATGTCTTCGCCTAACACAGAAGTTTCGACCACCGTTAAACACTCACCCATAATCCATGAACCACTGGTAGTCCGAATAGTCGTGGCTGAAGTCCTGCGACGAGGCAATCGAGCAGCTCAGCGGCGGCAGGTACGGATTGCAGTTGGTATCCGAATCGGGACTAGTGGCTGCCATCTTGCCTACGCCCGGTTGCTGTTGACCGACGGTAACAGTCCTTTTCAAATGCTGACTAACGCTCTGCAGTCTCTGCAGTAGCGCTACTGTATTACTGGTAGCCTGGTGATTGGTGCTACCGTTGTTATTGTTGATATTATTACTGTTGTGGTGATTGCTCAATATTTGCTCCCGCAGAGCATGATAATTCCGATTGATATTGTCCAGCACGATCTGGACGTTGGTTTTGAGATTCTCGTCGTTCAGCAGACTGTCGTCACCCTCGTTGCCACCACCGTCGAAGAAGCAGTGAGCTGCCGTTGGCCCTGCTGAGAACGTTCCCGTCGGCGTGGTTGTATGGACATTGTTGTTGTTGTTGTTGTTATTATTAGTACTGTTGCTGTTGTTGTTGTTGTTATTGGGCCAGAAGTTTGCGTTGGAAGCCAATGGACGACGGATGGGTGAGTTTTGCTTGCTGACGATGAGCGGACGATGCTGTTGATGGTTTTGATTATGATGATGATTCAGGAGGTACTGATTCTGCTGCGACAACACAAACTTCCCCTGCTGCTGTTGACGGTTTGGGTACTCTGACATACGAAGAAATTTAAGCTCTGAAAATGAGAGAAGAAAGGGGGACCAAATTAATTCGACTTCGTTAAGAAAATAGTTGTGTCCATTTCGGACGAAATAATTCGGAGTCCTGTGCAAAGGGAGCGCACACCACCACGCTGGGGGAGGCACGGACAGTGACAGTGATTGATTTATGTAATGTTACCTGAATTTTGCAACAGCGGTCAAACAAACGGAACGCAGCAGGAGGAGTAGCTGAACTGCGTGATCAAATCAGATCGGAGTTTACCCGACGAGGGTGGCCCAAACAGAGCTGCGCTCGCAATGAAGGACAGAAGGAAGTCGACTGCGCTGTGCCGCGGCAGCAAAAGTGTCTGTTTTGGTCATTAACAGGCTGCACCTACACACAATGTGTGTACAATGATCGAAGCGGCATAGTGATCGTGCGTGCACCATATATGCATAGTGCATATGGCGGAGAGTCGAGCCAAAGATTAATATGGTGTCATGTAGTTCCTGAATTAGGTTGCACACGCCGCACGGGAGGATCGATTCCGACGACGAGGGAATTTGCTGCCTGGTTCTATAGGTGCTTGATCTCGTGGCAGGTAATTTGTAGTGCAGTTATCGTGGAGCATAACACGGATGCTTCAAAGTTGGTTACATTTTAGACAATTAGGAATAAGCACTAAATTAGCATTTAAAAAAAAGGGGGAAGCGGGAAAGCTTCGCTACCCTGCCACGTTGCATTTAAACACAATTTGGTTTTGTGAGGGTTCTGTAGACCATGATTTACACTTTTAGAATGCTTTAAAACCTTGATAAAACTGGCAATGCACAGTGGGCCAGGAATGAAATCTAGCAGGAAAAAAAATAATAATAACGCTCTGGGATTGCATCCAATTAAGTTGACGTCTTGAGTGAAGTTTCGTGGGATGTGTTCCATTTGGTGAATTTTCATTTAAATTTGACTGATGAATTTTTTTAAATAAACCTATTATTCCAGCAGACTTATTTCTGACAGACAAGGAATCAATTTTGACAGGGATTCTTAATTTATTTTCTAAGTGTCAAATTTAAGTGAAAATTCACCAAATGGAGCACAGCCTCAGTGATAAAATTTGATGTTATGGCGAAAAAGATACATTAATTTTAAAACTAAATGCATACTCTTGCCCCACTTTACTCTAATTAAATTGTATGAAACTAGCGAGGTGAGCCAAGCTAAAATATATAATCTGATTACGAAAAATTCCCTGAATTTGAATAAAATTCCCTGAGATTCCCTGATTTTCCAGGCAAAAAAATAATTCCCTGATATTCCCTGATTTCCCTGATAGTCGGCACCCTGTTTTAGAGTACTGAACAAAAATTAATGAATTAATTTTCTAAAAAAATGCGCAAGTGAGCGCAAAATGCCATCAATTATTCAAAATGACCATCAAATAAACCAGAATTCCTCAAAAAATCTCAAAGATATATTGTGATATAATGGATTTGAATCAAACAATATATTTTATTTGAACAAGTGCAGCACACATTATTCTATTATGTACATTAAGGTGGGTCAAGTTTGAATGGCGCTTTCGATCTGTATTGAGATCCTTAACAACTGTTCCAAATTTGAACAAATTTCCTTATGATCTGCATTTATGGGCGATCTTTAAAATTTTGCGTAGAAAAATATAAGGAAAACGGAACAAAGCTATTCATATGCTTGTCAAAACTAAAAAAAATTAAAATTTGAACCAAAGCTAAGATTTAGATTGGAAAAACTGTGCAGAACAACTTTATCAAAGATCGCAAATCTATTATAAACATTTGTCACAGAAATGGAACTTCGAATCGAATAGTGGCTCCATATTATTTTTGTGAACACTAGCGCACCAAGAGGTAGAAGGCATGCTTTACATGGGTAGCATGCTTTGAAGGTGTGACTGCCAGTATAAAAACCCGTGTTTTTGACCAAAATTGAGCAATCTTTGAATTTTGAAAAAAAATGGAATAGTTTTGCTGAATTTGTTCAATTAAAATATATTGTTTGATTAAAATCCATATCTCCTTTGAATTCCGAAATCCTTGGAAATTATTATCAAATCAATGCATTAAAGTCAATAAGCTGTAAAACTTTGCAAGTCCCTTATTTAAAAAAAAACTAGGTTATCGGAAAATATTCAATGTCAGACGTCAGAAATATTTATTTTCGTTCCAGATTTTTGGAAATTTGTTCAAGTTTGATTTTTTATTAGGTCCAGATTTTTTTCTAATCCTTGTCTCAGAACCGAAAAAATCAAGTTACAGTATGTATGTTGTTATTGAAGGTAAATCCCCTCCAGAATTATTATGTTCAATGAATAAAAATTAATAACGAGGAAGATAAAGTTTGTTCCAGGTTTTTCAAGGTAGTAGCGTCCAGAACGTCAGACACATCAGCAATACCTGCTCCTTACAAGATTTTCAAAATTTGATCCGCGAAGAAATCCGCGACTTCAAATACTAATCCACAACAAATAAAAAAACTGTTTTCATTGCTTAAAAATAGGGGTTTCGATCTAATTTCCGTCCTACTAAGCACAACCCGCGCTTTACCTCCTTTTTTAAAGGGTTTGAACAAAACATGGTTAAATTTCTCTCAAAGATGAATTCTACATTTATTCACCTTTCCATACGTACCATTGGATTTGATAAAGAGTCACAAATTGTTGAGATATTGTTTAAAATCTAATACAGCTTCTTGATTCTAAATTCGTTCTACGAGTTTCAATTCCGTCCTAACGCATTGAAACGCCATTAGATTTTCTTCGTCCAACAGATAAACGTAGAAAAAGGGGATTCGCTAGGAGCGCTTCTTTTGTTTTGAGAACAATGAGCGTAAATATTCATACAATGCACTCTAATAGGATTTATTCTGTAGCTAATGAACTAACGCACCTGAACAAACCTATTATTGATTTGTGCATGGTGGAATCATTGATATTATTGATCTTTTCTGATCGATAGAACGGAATTGGGCGATTATGACGAAGTAGTGCTCTACCCTACTACTAAATGTGCATTACTCCTACATGGCATTTCAAGCTTATTGCTTTTTGGCTCCTCCCTATTTAAGTCGATTCCATAGCGAAGCGAAGAAGCGAGCGAAGCGCTGAAAAGAATGTAAGGAATAATGGAGATTCCCATTACTGATATTATTATTCCTTACATTCATTTCAACGCTTTGCTCACCTCTTCGCTTCTCTTCGCTCTCGCTATGGCATCGACCTTAATATTTTTTGAAGCACTTCCACATTTTAATTGAGAGCTTTATATCTTTCTATGACTGTAACCCAAGGAAGACGAGAAATTTTCCAACCCGGAAAATGAATCGAACCCAGTCGCTTACATTATGAGATTCTATTGAATAAAAGCGACCTAGCTTTTCAGGAACAATATTTTAAAACATTTATGCATTTTAATGTAAAATGCAAATTAACTTGGAAATGATTACCATCCAAATCTCAATAATAAAAAAATAATACAATGTAATAAATGTAATTTGAGGTTTTAATTTTTAAGAACAATAATACTGAAAATAAATCTTCTAAGGAGTATTCCAACAGAGTTTTAAGAAAAAGGGAAGTGCTTTCTGAATTCCGAGGATAGTTCCAACAAAATTTTAAGGAAAATGTCTAAGGAATTCCGAGGAGTATTCCAAGGATATTCCGATGATAATTTATAGAAAAATCAAAAATAGATTCCAAGGAAATTATGAGGAGCATTTCAAATAATTAAAGGGAATTCTGAGCAGAACTTAAAAGGAATTCCTAAGGTTAATCCATGGACTTTTCAGGAGAGTACTGCAAATGTTTTTTTTTCAGGAGTATTTTTCGGAGAATTGTCAGAATTATTCACAGCATTGCAGGTGAATTCAGAAAGTGTTCTGCAGAATATTTTCAAGAGTATTATGGAATAAATTATAGAAGAATTTAATTTTTCCATAAAACATTTCGAGATCCTGGACACAGAAAAAGGATCAAGATTTAACGTATGAAAAAAAAATTCTGTGGCTTAAATTTTTTAAGATTTCATGTATAGAAATCCTGGATTTAGGAAAATCTTCTAGGTATTTTATTTAAAATTAAATACTCCGGACTTAAAGGAGGGAGGATTAGCGAGAAGATTAGGGAACGTGAGAAATTTTCTAGATCCAAAACTTCCTTCTTCTAATTCTGGGATTTTGGCGCTTTGAATGTTTTCTAGATCTTGGACTTGGAGTTAGAAACTTTAAGGCCTTGATATTTTAAGAGATCTTGGACTTAACCCGAAGGCCGAGAAAACCAAGCATGGAATCAACTCGTACTACGATAAAAATTAAAGCTCACATGGTGTAATGAATGAAGGTACGAAAAAATAGGTCCAGATTTTGTTTTTTTTTTCTCTAAAAAGTTCAAAGAGGTGTTATTTTTCTGGACATGCTTTAAAATTCCTGAAATATTTACTGCTGATTATTCAAATATTTAAAGTTTTACTGTATGGGGCTTGATTGATTAAGTCTGTCTGGAAGTTTGAGCAATTTCAGTAAACTTCTTCTATTTTGAGCACCCTTGTTCAAACTGCTGTATTTTTAAAAACCATTAGCCAAATGAGTAGAGATTTTGTTCATTTGTTATAAAAACGTAAAACTTATATTTTACTTCAATTTTAGAAAACAAAAATTGGAAGAAAATTTCTAAGGAATTAATTATATCGTCCGGCCATTTTCCACAGAGATGGCGCTGTTCCGTTGGTAGGAAGTGATAAAAATCCCCACATAGAAATTGAGAGAAGTGGGAATAACTCTGACTATATGTTTTTTAGTATTACTTCTACGTGAAGTCAACGATTTACATAGTTGAAGATGCTAGTTTCAAATAACAGACTGTAGTGGTAATTTTTATACGATAGATGGAGTAGATGAAAGCATAGAGTTGATAGTTCCGTTAGAGTACGGCAGTGTGAAGATTGCATATAGATATTAGAATAGCGAGCTAGAACAACTTTTAAGGAAGGTACAAATCGGTTT